CTTTTTATATAATTAAATCCAAGAAAAAGAGTAGTGATTCATGATCGCGGATATCTGCTTTAGATCTGGCGCTTCCGGAAGACTCATTCATCATCGTCATCAATGCATTTCACCCCTGGTTCACATCCTTCATTCAAGCACCTCTTAGTTAGTTTTAGTAAGGTTTTACCCTGCTCGCAACTGCGTAAGTAAGGTCATATGAGTGCCAAGGGATGGATATCAACAGAAAAGACCAAACGGGGAATCAGGCTTACTCTGCTCACCACTCTAGCCTCAACAACACAAAGTCTGCTTCGACTATCAAGGCACCCCGGAAATAGCAGTTTGAAGAAAGTGACAAACATACAAAAGAAGTAGAGGAAAAAGGACAATAGTAAGGATGAAGAAACAAAAAGCAGCAGTTCCCCCTATGTTGTTCCAGCACGGTATGAGCATGACATTGATAAATCAATCAGCCCATTTACAATTCTACTGTGCATAAGAACATGTTAATATCCCCCCTTTGGACTTTGGGAATGGCCTTAAGACAGTTCAGTCAGTAGCACTGCCCTTACCTCCAGGAGTAAAAGATATTGAAAATACTTACCCAAAAGACCAGCCTATGGAGCAAAGCTTAAACTTACATACACTGGCATAACCCATTATACAAGCCGAACACATGCCATCAGCCTCCTATAAAAAAAACTAAAGCCAATCTGGCAGTAAAATGTTCTGGAAAAACAATATATTTATATAAATTAAAACATATGGCACAGTATATATCCATGAGATATAACACATGTAAAAAAAGGCATGTATTTAAAATTAAAAATCCAGTTGAAAGCAGGTACCTGTACACATAAACCTGTCAAATGAGGTTGAGTTTCAAGCACAATCATAAGTGAGGCAATATTGTGGAATCGGGCGCTCGTCAAAATATTGAAATCAAGAAAGAAACTGGCGTTTTTCTGGCTGTCTGGCAGTTTTGTTCGAATTTTCTTTTATTGACTCAACATCTTTTACGTTCATCAAAAAACACATTTCTGCGGTAGATTTTACTGAAAAACATTGATCAAAGGCACAAAAAAAGTAAATTTTTAGTTTCCAAGGCCCCTCAATCTACGAAAGTTAGCAAACTTTGACAGGCATTTTCTAGCTAATTTTACCTCTGAAACCAGATGACCTTCACCTCCTTCAATCTCAAATATCTCGACTTCAATTCAAAATAGATGGATATTTTTTCACCAAAAGTAAGGCAAATGAACAGGCTTTAAGATGATACTAATAACCCCATATGCTCAAAACCTGACGAGTGCCTGATTCCACCACGTCGTGCAACATATTTTTATGTGACCTTAAAATTTACACTGAAAGAGTCTAGCCATTTACTGTACAACGATGACACCATCAGGTCTTAAAACCTCCAGAAAGCAAGTCAGAACAATGGTAACAAATGACATTGAAATAAACAGATATACAATTTGTTACACCACACAGAACAAGATTAGAAGTATAAGTCACCGGGTTAAGGTTCTTTTCTTTACTTTACTTTTCTGATTCAGTGGCCATCTGAGTTCTAGCCCTTCAGCCTGTCGATATATGGCAAAGAATTTACAGGCTTTATGAGCAGTGTTATTTTTTAATTGTGCAGAACAAGATAAGAAGTATAAGTCACCGGGAGAAAGTTCTTCCAAAAAACAATAAATAGCATACAATTATAAACATTTCTGAAATAAATCAAAACACATTTCCTTAAAAAAAAAAATGCATGTAAAGCAAACTAAAAATCTTACTATACCGATCACAAATTCAAACTCCAACTCCAACAGAAAAGAAGATTTCAAATGTACCCCACCTAAGAACAAGTAGGCTACAAATTCTATCACAGTCGGAACTAGTTAAAAAAAAACTGAACCTACAGTTTCTTGAAAAAGGCTCAAGATATTCTTTCAGCCTTGGCTAGCCCTATGTTCACATCATCATCACCAATGGAAACATACTATTTCTCTCAGTGAAAAGTTTTCCCATTAATCAGCTGCAAAAAACAGAGTATCCTACCATGAATATCGCGGAAGGAAAAGAAATCAAATGAGGTAGTGCTTGATGAAGCCCACGTGGGACGCCCACTGTTAAAATCAGCCAGGAAACGACAAATGCAGTTTTTGGGACACATGAATTGACATAATATAAAGATCAAGAACATCTAGCTCTCACTGGAAAAATTGAGGGCAAAAGAGGAAGGGGTAGGCCTAGAGCAAACTACTTAGGGAGCCTAAACAAATGGGTAATGCAGAGATGCCAACCACAGAAAACCGAAATGAGCATTGGGAAATATGAAAATGTGTTTTTTCAGGCGAAAATGTGTATTCCCCACGACCGACCGACTGACCAGAAGGCTAAAACAGCACCTGGACATGGATGGCTGGTGCCTCTATAAATAAATCATTGATGGTCGACCAACCAGTAATAGTAACATGTTCAGGGTGTCCAGCAATATTTCCTGAAAAAAAATTACTAGCTCACCAGCTCGGAAAAGGGAGCACACACGCGTACAATATATACATGTATCCAGTCAAAAACATGTCAGTGTTCAATGTTGTACTGGGGTCTTGTTTGACTTAAGTATTTCAGTCTACTATATAATATTTTCCTCTCATTATTACTATATAAAAAATAAATCCTGTTTTGAGGGTTCGGAAGGGCCTAGAACAAGAATTTTGACTATCAAGAACCAGTCTGGGTGTCATGATTCATATTATGAACTGACACTCAAATTATTGCTCAAACTCAGAGAAAAGCAATAACTTGAATGGCTCAAGTAGGCTACTAGTAGACCCATGCACTGTGAGAGTTGTAACAACTGTGGTAGGGCAAGATGCAGTGACACTGAAAATCTGCCAGTCTTGAACAGAAAGCTACAACATACACTGTAGGTATAATTTACTATCACCAATCCAAGTAGGTATAATTTACTATCACCCATCCAATGAAACGCGAACACTTTATTTCAATAACACAGACTTGCAAAGTATGAGGGGTCCCGATTCCGCACATGGCCTGCACCAACGAGCGCTTTGCAGAAAGCTCTAATCAAAATTCTGAAAAGTGCTTCCAAGTTTTTGTCCTCTGGTGTTGCCTTAAACCCCCGATAGTATCTTAAACCCAAAAAAAAATCAATAATCTCCTCCCCTATTCCGTAGTCATATACTTCGCAAGGCCGTTACTCCCACAAAGACGGTCTTTGCTCACACGATGCCGCATTTATTTGTGATCGAATGCGCACAGGGTCAGTGACCGGTCACGATGGCGAGCCAGACAATCTAAAAATCGGACGACGCTTGTATTTTCTTTTCTTTTTTTTTCCACAAGTGACAGCACAGCGACGAGTCAGAGTATTTATAACATTTTATTTGAACGGCGACATCGTGTTTATACTGCACAACCTGCATGCCACAAATGTTGCGTTATCAGACAACTGCTGGCAAACTTCTCGGTGGTAACGAAAGCGAAAGTATATCTTGATTTTCCCGATCGAGCCTCGGTGTCACATACGCTTCCGCCTGCCGCCATAGCTGCCTTTTCGAGTGAAGGTGAAACGTACTCTCCAGACGGGGAAAAGATGAACGAATATAATATCACGATCGCGACCGGCAATACTGACCACATCGGACTTGGATTTCAAATATTCCAGTTCTGCGAAACTGATACTATTTTGGCAAAAGATGGGACCTGAGTTAATTAAGTTTACTCGCCCATGCTGAATCTCGTAGTTTTCGCATTCCAGGATGCATATTTTTTCATGAAAAGTCGTATTCGCGTATTTTCGGCAAAAAATCGTACTAAAATACGTAAAATCGTACTGGTTGGCATCTCTGGTATCGGGGAAAGATCAGGGAAACGTGGCTTTTTTAAGAGCATCCGAGCAAAAGGAATGAATAGAGAACCATCATCGCCAATGTCTGTAGCAGATCTGGCACTGGATGACGATGATCATACCATGATCAACGACAGATATCCAAAACTTTGAATTCCGCATTTTTCAAAAGAATAGTATCATGTGCAAAAAGCACAAAGATTAAGAACAACTGCCTTAAATAACTTTTGCGACCAAAGCAAACAGTATCTTTCCATGGGGTGGGTGGGTGGGGGGTAATTTTCAATTTTCTTTCAAATGCGGACATGTGGACAATGTCCCACTTCATGAGGAAAGAAAGCAAACTGAAAAAAATTACTGGTCAGAAGAGAAGGTACAAGTAGGCCTACAAATCAACATGTATTACTAGCGATCTCATATCCAGCTGATTTCATGTGGATGGTTGGCGGGTGCTCTGGTGTTGTTTACTCCTTCTTTCCTGTCAAACATCTATCGTCTTGATCTCTCCTCCTTCTCTTTTGTGTTTGTTACTCTGTTGTAACACCTCTAATCTTCCATACTTATGTGACCTAATTGTGTTGCAAGTACTGTAAAACACTTACTAAAACAAAAACAAAACAACTGATTCCATAAAAAATTACATCCACACCGTCAACACCCTAAGGTTAGATACCTCCTCGTGGCTTGCTTGAGCATATCAGAAATTTTGCTTAGCTGCCTTTTCCCAAATTTATGAATCAATAGCTCTCTTATTTACATTACATCATCCGGTTCACAATTGTGAATTCAGTTGCACACTAGGGGATGTTTTGCATAAATGAGTCTCCAAAAATGAAAGCAACCGCCTCCAGGCGTCTTCTTGGGCATCTGCATGTGGTTTGGGTTGGCCTCCCCAATACATGTGCAAACCTGGAGGAAAAGTAATGAGAAAAATTACCATTTCAGAACAAGAGAGAACATTCATATATATATGTGCCACGGCGTGGTGGAATCAGGCACTTGTCAAAATAATGAAATCCGAGAAATCGGCATTTTTCGGCCACTTGGAAATTTTTTTTGTTGAAAATTTTATTTTTTGACTCAACACCGTATATGTCCATTTAAAAACACTATTACGTGGGGAATTTATGGAAAAACATTGATTAAAGGCACAAAAAGTTAAAAATTTAGTTTCCAAGGATTCTTAAGCAAACGAAGTCACCAGACTTAGGCGGCCCTTTTCTCACTAATTTGACTTCTAAAACCAGGTGACCCTACCTCCTTCAATAGCAAATATCTCCACTTCTATTCAAGATAAATGGATATTTTTTCATTGAAAGCAAGGCAAAAGAACAACATTTAAGATGATACCAATAACTCCATAAGCTCCAAAATTGACGAGCGCCTGATTCCACTGCGTCATGACACATACCGTTATGCTTTAAGCTAGCCAAGAATCAACAAAGTCTATATGTGTGAGGCGTGCTGACAAAATTAGTTACTTCTGCAATCCAGGGATGGAGATGTCAACCAAAAATAGACACACAAAATTTATTTATATATACATTCAGCGGATGATAATTTATTTACCTTTGTCTTTTATCAGTCATTTAATAAACTGTACAAACCCAGCCTAAAACTTTAGTTTTAGTAAGAGTTTTACGGCACTTGCAACAATATAAGGTCAAAAAAGTGCCGAAGATTAGATGTAGAAGAGACTAACAAATATTAAAAAGAAGGAGGAAAGATCAGGACAACAGGTGTTTGGTAGGAAAGAAGGAGAAAACCATACCAGAGCACCCACCAACCACCCACGGCTACAACTTTGATTATATGTATCTGTCTCTGTCCATATGGCTAAAGGGAGCAAAATATGAGAAGTAAAACATTTTGTCAGCACGTCGCATATCATATATAAGAACAACAGTAACAATGATCATGGTAATTATCAAGTCTTTGAACACACAACAACACTCGCAGCATCAGTCGAGAAATCTTGCAACCACGGAAAAAATGCTGTCGCCAATGTTCAGTGGTAAGTTTCATTATCTCTACCATCATTTTTTCCGAAAAGCAAAGGCAAGTCATACATTCAAGATTTCTATACTGTCACCTTCTGTATGCAATTGTCTTTGATTTGATGTATGACATGACTATATTCCTACACGTCTTGGGTGGGTTACATATGAGGGAGTGAGATGCAAAACCCACTAAGCGACATTTAGGAAAAATCAATAATTTTTGCTTAAAAATTATGCACATTGTTACTGGCTATCAGATGCACAAAGTGCTTTTGGCCCAAACCCAACTCATACTTCATAAAAACCACCAAAAATCTTTTTTGCGCATGTTCATGTGTATAGCAGCATTTAAAAAGCTGATTTTCTCAAAAGTGCTTAAAAGGATGTCGCGGGTTTTGCATCTCAGCCCCTCATATTAAGTTAACCCCCCAAAAAAATCCCTTGAAATGAGCTCAAAATAGCGTGTTCAAAGAGTCAAAATCATACAATCAATAACACAAAATGGAGGAGCATAAGAAGACTAGAAACTGTCAGTCACTAAAGGGTGAAATCTGAAACAAGTTAAACAGTTTGTTTTAGGAGGAGAAGGAGGAGAAAAGAAGATTGTACACATTGTCAATCACTTAACGGTGAAATCTAAAACAACTTATGTTAAAAGTGAAAGAAAAAGTTACACCAGTCTTATCTTTTTCATTTCAAATAGAATTTAATGGAAGGTGAAGAGCAAACTTAGTCTACTTTTTTTTTGCTTCGCAATGTCGAGCGGTATGCCCATGAAGAAACATAAAAAAAACTTTTAAAATCTTAGAGTGAACGTATGGGTGGTTGGCAGGTGCTCTGGTGTTGTTTGCTCCTTCTTTCCTATCAAACATCTATTGTCCTTATTTCTCCTCCTCCTTTTTTTTTGTACATTACTCTCTAGTAACACCTCTAATCTTTGGCACTTATATATGACCTATCTATGTTGCAAAGGCCATGAACCTGTAAAACTAAAACTAGACTTGACTGCCAAGCGCCTGATGCTACCATGACAAAAGCAACCTACCAAAAAGTCCGGCTGGATCATGTGTATACACGGGTGTGTAGGGAGGGTCCAGCATGTGACCAGCACCAGGGTAGTTCACAAAAGTCAAATTGTTCCGGAACTGAGCAGGGATCTTTGCCTCATGAAAAGCTGCATACTTGGGGTCGATGCATTCATCATTGTCACCTCGGAGGTACAAGATTTTAGCACCATGACGCCAACCCTGAAAGACATAAAAATTATAACTCTATAATATGATAGAAATAAAAACATGTAGTATACATTACCTCTCCTAGTATTGATGACCAATTAAATCGGCCGTAAGTTTCATTGTGTGGTGTTGCAGCTGTAATTTAAGTCACTATTTCCGTTTGCTTGTCCCGTTTTTTATATCGCCAAATATTTCAACTCTTTCACAAAGGCACTCTACATCCTCTTTACATTTTACTTTATGTAAATACACAGGTTTATGAATTTAACTTGCTCATTTGCTTGATCTCAAGCATATTCCAAGATAATATGGTGAAAACAAAAATTCCCCTGACACCACAAACTGTTTGTTAGCGATTAAAGTGTGTTCATTTGTCTTGCTTTTGATGGAAAAAAACCCATCCATTTATCTTACATAGAAGTCGAGATATTATATTTCAGATGGAAGGAGGTGAGGCCACATGGTTTCAGAAGTAAAATAAGAGAGAACATGGCCACCAAAGTTTGGTGACCTACAAAGCTTGAGAGAACTTGGAAACTGCAAATTTACATTTTTTATGCCTTTAATCAAAATTTTTCAGTAAAATCCACACAGCAAGGTGGTTTTAAAGGATAAAAGGTAGGTGTTGAGCCAAAAAATACAATTTTGACAAAAATTGCCAAACGGGGGGAAAAATGCCATTTTCTTTGTTTTCATTATTTTGATAAGCATCTGATTTCACCAAGATGCCTCATAATTTTGTATAGATGCAGGACTGGGTACACCAGCAGTTAGTACAGCAGCTCATGGACCTGCCGTTGTGAAATAAAGGAGTGGACTACTAGGGTATTCAAATTGAAACTTCCCTCGAGGATCAATAAAAAAAATGTACAGTCGAACCTGTGTAAGACGGAATCGCAAGGGAGCCGGAAAAAAATTCCGTCTTAGACATGGGAATTTAGGGGGAGGTGGGGGAGGGGGGTTCAAAGGCCCAGCCGGTGGGATCAAGGATCGCTTGTCTGATCGGCAAGCAGTGGTCAAAACTTCACACCTCTCAATTACTATCCTGTCTGAAAATGACATGCGTCAGTCTGACCATAAATCCAATTACCACCAAATCTTGCCTTTCATAGGACCACTGTTTGACCTATTAAGAACAGAAACGTTTAAATATCTACTTTGCTTCTACCCTTAGCCCCACCCACCAATGCCACCCCTCACTGAGATCATTGTAACAACGAGTCGAGGAACTCTTTTCTCAGCTGGCGGTACGATCAGGGCGGCAGGCATTGGTCAATCTGATTTCACACTTCAGGCTTCTGGCTACCCAGGAAAGTTTCCATAGTGGCTCGCTACTCTAGCACTCTCACAGGCAGTCGTGAGATTTCACACCCTCACTACCCTGACCATCTGCATCGCTCAGGGCTCACATGATGGGTAACATCTACCCCCCAAAAATTGCACCCCTACTCCCCTTCCTCGCCCAGCGGCATGGCCATAGCGTTAAGTTAAGAGCCGGCTGAACCAAACTTGCGAGTTTTGTTTCAAATCAGCGCTGACTGGGCAAAGCATTTTCCGTCTTAGACAGGTGAAACCCTCGGAAGGGAGCGGATTTTTTTTTCCGTTTCCGCGTTGGACAGGTTTCCGTTTTGTACAGGTAATTAAAGAGGAATATATCAAGGGGGGAGCGGGGAGATTCCGTTAAGACAGGTTTCCGTTTTATACAGGATTCCGTTAAGGCAGGTTCGACGGTATTTTATCTCATCTTATCTGAAAAAAAAAGTGAAAATCAAAAGCCATGAACAAAGCTTTATTTCGACATTAAACAAATATATATATATATATATA